CCGTTGCCGGACACGGAAAAAGACAAAAAAAAAAAAAAAAAAAAATCTCTTTCTGTCTAGAGAGACTCACTGAGTGTTTAATGAATATAAAAAAAAAATTTTTTTAAGTTTAGAAAAGCACATAATTTAAATGCCAAAATTAGATTTACTGAACACATGATTAAACATTGACAAAACATCCATTCTAAACGATGCCTGCAGAATTTACAGTTTGGCAAGTGCCCATTCTTAGGGTTTCAATATGCTTCCACTTATCCGAGCAGTGGACACTTGCAACTTCCTTTTAGGATGCTCTCAACAAAGGTCGTTCAGCCCCTTAGGAACAAAGCCCAAGATGGGAACAGAAAGTCAAACATTTCTGTGACCCAAGGGACCGGATGGTTCCCCCTTGTTTTCATTTGACCTAAGACAGAAACAGAATTGGGCGCCCAGCTCTGAACGCTCCTGCCACAAGAGGCCATGGCTTGCAGCTGACATTTTCTGAAACACCCCTGGCCGTTTCCTAAGGGGCACCTTCGGGTGCTTGTGTGCAGACGTGTCTCGTCCACTTGAGCACCCTCGGGGGCTCTGTTCTCCCTCCTGCCCTTTCCCCAGGCTGTTTTGTTCTCCACATGTCCCCAAGGGGCGGCTGTCACACAGCCACTTGTAATGAAAAGCCACGTGCAAAATCGGAGGTTTTGGTCTGGGGTACACCCAAGCTATGCTGGAAAATAAACCTCAGGTCTGATGATGGAGTCCCTTCTTGATGGAGACTTTGCAAAAAGAAAAAAAAAAATCCAAACATAACTTTTTTGTGGGGGGTGGGGGTGGGGAAGGAAGGGTGTGGGAAAACTGGATATACATACTGTAGAGGAAGGAGGAATTAAGACCAAAAAATAGAGCAGTTCAGAGCTCAAGTTCCCTCCCTGATCCAACGTAAGCCTCAAACCCCCAATTACTGTCAAGATACCTTTTTTTTTTAAGGCACATTCTTCCAGTCTCCTCACCCCAGGGGAGAGAAGACTCCAGGAAACAGGGAGTTATTAAGTGGAGGGAGGTTACTCCTGGCATTAGGGTCGTTTAAATATAAGGTGCAAACATCTGCTTCTGAGTTGCCAGAGCTCCCTGGGGGGTAGGAGGATGTGTTACTTTAAAAAGAAAAAAGGGAACCATAAAAATGCAGATTCCTCAAGAGTAAATGGATGGGTTCTGTAATTACGGTTTTACAGGATCACACAGAGAAGATCTTGAGACTGGAAATCCTACGTGCAGAAAAGGTCAACACAGTTCACTGCAGGAGGGGTCGGTAAAATGTCCAAGCATATGAGTCATTTCAGGGAAGATTCCCAGGGGGGTCCAGGGATAGAGAAATACCCACAGCAGAAATGGAAAAGAATTGAAAGCAAACAGTCCAGAGGAGGATTCCCCATTAAGGGGTGTAAATAAAACCCTGAGGACTGACTGACACAAGTACTTGGTGTTGAAAACAACAGGATTATTGCAACGATAACAGAAAGAATCCACAAAGAGACACAGAGCTGGAAGAAATTCAGCCGGTGTCCACACGGCCTGTGTCTCAAAATGGGATTGGAAATAAATTGCTTTTATAATAAATGGGGGTAAAAAGCTGTATCAGAGCCAATACATATATATTTTTTAAATTAATGAATCATAATTTATTGACATTAGCTACTTGGAAAATTATTTGAATCTCCATCCAAGAGCAGAAAGAACAACATGACTGTGTTTCTCTGTCTTCCTGGTGCACAGAATAAAAGATGAAGGGTTGCATTTTTGAATGCAACATATGCATTTCTATGTATTGAAGCGAACAGGTGAGGGTTCTCCAAAGATTTTGTGTTTATTTTATTTTTATTTTTTAAGTAATTTTATTAATATTATTTTTTTGCATTCTAGGGTTCATGTTTAAACTTAGGGAAACATTCCTTTAGAGAAGGGGCATTGTGTTTTAAATTGCAGCGGCATCGGTTTCTGGTGGGTAAGGGGACCCTGGGATTCACAACACCTGCATTTTACATCAGTGGTATGCAGTGTTTCCTGGATGGAGGGAATTGCAAGGTCTGGGTCTGTCTGGGATTGCTCTAACAGCAGATCCCAAGGCACTTCAGTAATTATACCCGTGTGCTTCCTGCAGGTGGGCACAGAGTAGGTCACTCATTCCAGTTGAGTGAACGAGTTTTTCATGACCTCGTTAAAAAAAAAAAAAAAAAAAAATTACTCTTACATATGACAGTAAACGCACACACACATACAAGGGCACTTCAAAAAGTCTATGGAAAAATAGAATTAAAAAAATAATGAATCTTTCAATGAATTTTTTGGAGCACCCTCGTATTTCTATTTTTTTGAATATATGTTTATGTAAATTTATTAATACACATTGTACATATTGTGTATTTCATTAATGTATATTTTATATATATATATATATCACATTATATGTATGTAAGGCTTACATTTTAATAG